CCCTTAGTGGCTTTCTTCTGAGGCTTCTTTGCCTTCCTCTTTCGCTTGCCTATCTTGCCAGCTTCAACAAGCGTAGCTACAGGCTCATCCTTTCTAATCAGTTCTTACTTATTTTGTTAAATCCTCTTGGGAACGATATTTTTATACTACTTGATAACTAATGCACTTGCTAGAGTTATAATCATAGCTATCAAGTTTTTGGCGCCGTTGCCGGGGATTTAATCCTAAAATAATATTAGAACTTGTTAACCTTGGTTAATTTGGATTTTTCTCTTTGTTTAAAGATATGCTTAGGAAGTGTCATCACCATGGAATACTAGCTTGGCATCAAATTCAAACTTTTTATAATGGTATTACTCCATCTAATCGCTTCATTATTGATGCAGCTGCATAAGACACAATCATGAGGAAAACTCCAGAGGAAGCCTATGATCTAGTAGAAGAAATGGTATCAAACAACTACTAATGGAATAATGACCGAACTGATTGAAGGGGAATCCATCATATAGATTCTTTTTCAGCTTTATCTGCTCAGCTTGCTAGTTTGAATAAAAAATTAGACAATCTTAGTGTTGCTTCAATAAATGTGTCATCTTATAATCCATCTGATCTTTGTGGCCAAATGGGACATATAAATTCTAATTGTCTAGTTGGTAATCCTTTTGCTTCACATGAAAGTGCTAATTTTGTTTCTCATGGTGGCAGACCAAATTTCAACCCTTATTCGAATACATACAATCCAGAGTGGAGGAGTCATCCGAATTTTTCATGGAATAACAACCAACAAAACGTGCCCATGGGATTTCAATAATAGCCGCCCCCACAAGAAAAGAAGGAAAATTTAGAGGATCTGATTTCTAAGTTCATTAATACTGCTGAAGCAAAGTTCCAAGATCACGAAAAGAGATTCTTAAATCAAGAAGTAGCTATTAAGAACTTAGAAGTTCAAGTGGGGCAGATTGTAAGCATGCTGTCAGAAAGAAGAGAGGGACGATTGCCTAGCAATATAGAGAAGAACCCAAGGGAGCAAGTGAATGCCATTGCCTTCAGAAGTGGAAAGACTATTGACGAGATCAAGGATGACGATCAAAAAGTTGAGGTAGTCGATTCTCAAATGGAGATTGAAGGGAGTACACCTAAACTAAATTTAGATGCTATTAATAAGGAAGCTTCAAGAAGGAGGTGGCGGCAAGAAGAAGAGAGGATTTCAGCTCCAAGGGCGACATCATGAGTTCTTTCTTTCCTCTTGTTTGTTTAATTTCCTTCATCATGAACTGATTTATTTTTAGCTAGGGCTGTGGAAAGCCTAACCATGACAATGAGTGTATTTTTATCATTATGATTTATCCAAGATTGTGATTTCCATATAGTGTATGAGTTATTTGCTTAATGCGATTAGGAGTGGCCATCTCTTAATTGATTAGGTTTACATGAATGAATCGGGAGAGGAATTCATGTATTAGATCACATAATTCATGGTGTGAATTGAATGGTATATAAGGATACACATGATTCATCTAAATGTATAAGTTTTTCTTGCACTTAATGCATTTTTATCTTGAGAACTCTAGTCGAGGGATCGAGGGGTGACATGATAGAAGTTGGTTTAATATATCTTGGGAAAGAATATTAAATAAAATTGGAAAAATTTCAGCTTATGGGAATGACAAATTATCTTGGTTAATCTCATCCATTAATATTCATTGAAATGGTTAGGTGGACCAATGGTCCTAGCGATTTCAATTAACCATTGCATATTTAGTTATTGCTTTTATTTTCTTTCTCTATTTTTTATTTTCAGTAGTTCTTATTGTTGGATCTGAATTTTGATTGTCCAAATAATTAAGGGAGGTTGTAGTTCTAATCTTTATTTTGTCAAATCCTCGTGGGAACAATATTTTTATACTATTTGATAACTAGTGCACTTGCTATGGTTATAATCATAGCTATCACATTTCTTGACCATCTTTCATGGTCTTGCAGGTGAGGATCCTCACAAGCACTTGAAGGAGCTGCATGTGGTATGCACGAGCATGAAACCCATGGGGGTAACTGAAGAGCAAATCAAATTGAGAGCCTTCCCATTTTCTCTGAAGGATTCGACTAAGGATTGGCTCTATTATCTACCTTCCGGGAGTGTTACCACATGGAACGAGATGAAGAGGCTATTCCTAGAAAAGTACTTCCTAACTTCAAGGGCGGCCAATATCCAAAAAGAAATCTATGGAATAAGGCAATACGACGGGAGTCCTTACATGAATACTGTGAACACTTTAAGAAGTTATGTGCAAGCTGTCCCCATCACCAAATCAGTGAGCAACTACTTATTCAATATTTTTATGAGGGACTTCAACCTACTGATAGGAGCATGATCGATGCTGCTAGTGGAGGGGCCTCAGTAGATAAAACTCCCGAGACGCAAGAAATCTGATTGCAAATATATCGGCTAATTCTCAATAGTTCGGGTATAGACTCAACCCTCCAGCAAGGCATGCTAACGAGGTAAACATCTCTTCCTTAGAACAACAAATTGCAAGTCTGACCTCTCTTGTCCGTCAAATGGCTGTAGGTAACATGCAAACGGTGAAGGCTTGTGGGATATATTCGACAGTGGGGCATCCAACTAATATGTGCCCAACTCTTCAAGAGGAGCCTGTCGAACAAGTAAATGCGGCAGGTGGTTTTCCAGGGCAACCGCAAAGGGAACATGATCCCTATTCAAACACATATAACCCAGGATGGAGGGATCACCCCAATCTCAACTATGGGAATCCACAAAACCGCCAAACTTTCCAGCCATATCAGCCGCATCCCCCTAGACAACAGCCAGCCCAAACATCCAATTTAGGTGTGTCTTTAGAGGATATTGTTAAATCTCTTGCCACTAACACCTTGCAATTTCAACAGGAGACAAAACAATTTCATCAAGAGGTGAGGGCCAGTATCCAACGTCTGGATAATCAGATGGTTCAGATGGCGATGACAATTAGTCGGTTAGAGGCACAATGTTCAGGGAAATTACCCTCTCAAACGGTTGTGAATACGAAAGAAAATGTAAGTGCCATCGTTTTGAGAAGTGGTAAAGAGTTTGAGACTCCAGCAAGAGCAGCCCCCGCAGTGTCGAATCAAGAAAAGGAGAAAGACATCGTTCCCGATGATGATGAAGTACCTAAGCGTAAGTTTCCTCCCCTTTCTGATTATAAACCGGTACCTCCTTTTCCTAATGCTTTAGTAGGAACGAGGAAAGATGAGCAGTTCAAAGAATTTTATGAAACTTTTCGTAGATGCGAGGCAAATACCCCCCTTTTTAATGCTCTTAAACAATTACCTCATTATGCTAAATTCCTAAAAGAGTTGTGTATACATAAGAGGAAACAAAAACTAAAAGGACGCGAAAAGGTGAGAGTAGGGGAGAATGTTTCTGCAATCATTAAAAAACTCCCTACAAAGTGCGAAGATCCAGGTATGTTTACTATCCCCTGCATGATAGGTAACACTAGAATTGAGAAGGCCATGTTAAACTTAGGAGCTTCTATTAATGTCATTCCATATTCTATATATGCTTCTTTGAAACTTGGACCTTTGAATAAGACTGGTGTAGTGATTCAATTGGCTGATAGATCGAATGCCTATCCTAAGGGTGTAGTTGTGGATGTTCTTGTGAAATTGTTAAGTTTAATATTTATGATGCCATGAAATATCCTACTGATGATGATCCTATTTGTTCTGTTGATGCAATTGACTCTTTGGCACAGGAGGTCTTTGAACTCGAAGAGAGGGATGGATTAGAAGTCTCCATTAGCAAGCATCTTGAGAAAGAGGAGCCACTGCTGAATGCTGATTTGCAGGAAACTATTGCAGCATTGGATAATTCTCCGGAGTTACCACAGTCAGGTAATGCTCCTAAAATTATATTGCTGAATTCTGATAGGAGACTTTTACCCTCTGTTTTGCAGGCCCCCATTCCAAAATTGAAACCTCTCCCTAGTCACCTCAAGTACGTATTCCTTGGAGACGGAGAGAAATTACCGGTGATCATCACTAGCAGCCTTAGCGCACCACAGGAAGAGAAGCTTGTGCAAGTTCTTAAGGAGCATAAGACGGCTATCGGTTGGATGATTGCGGATATCAAGGGAATCAGTCCGTCTACATGCATGCACCGCATCTTGCTTGAAGAAGGAACGAAACCTTCCCATCAACCACAAAGAAGGCTGAACCCAACCATGATGGATGGAAGGAGAACACCGAAAGCTGCAACCATGAGAGTTAAAGGATATGATTTAGGATGCTTAAAAATAGGGAAGTTGGTTTTTCCTTTTTCCTTTTTCTTTTTGTTTTTGCATTTATAGTTTAGTTATTTCCACCTTTCTTTGCATTTTACCTTTCATCGGGGACAATGTAAGTTTTAAGTGTAGGGGAGGGGATTTAGGTTAGAATTTAGATTGCATTTTAAAATTTGATTTAGGTTGTGTTTTTCTTCATTTGTTTGAAAAAAAAAAATCAAAACTCAACTCTTTTGAAGTCAACCGAAACAATATTCTAGGAAAATTCTTGTGTACCTAGTAATGAGGTACAATTAAGAAGTACATGACCTACCTGAGGCCACCCCCTTTTTGAGCTAGTCCTAAATCCAGGTTTAAGTAAATAGGGTAAATATTTTACCACTGCTACAATGAGTAGGACGGAGCATAAAATGCACCTACCAACCAAGCAACTCAATAGTAGAATGGAGCATAAAATAAACCTACTAACCAACAATTCAAACAGTAGGACGGAGCATAAAATGCGCCTACTGACCAAGTAATCCCAAAAGTGAGATGGAGCATAAAATGCACTCACTTCCACCAAGGAGTGAAAAAGGATAAAGTGAGTGGATCGAAAAAAAAAGAGAAAGAAAAAAAAATGTGTTTTCCCTAGTTTACTACGTAGTTTGTAGTAGCCAAAAACTGGATTGGTTGATAGATGAGTCGTGTATTACTTGGTCGTATCGATTTGACGGCTTGCAATAGTTAACCTAGAATATTTGTGGAGAAAGATGAAAGAGAGTTGAGTTTAAGGATTGGTAGGATAGTTTGTTTGTTATTGTTTTTGTTTTTGCTTGAATTTTGACTTGCCCGAGGACGGGCAAGGTTTAAGTGTGGGGGGATTTGATGAGAACGAAAAATATCATATTTTTCTCACTTAATATTTAGTCTTTTATATTTATTTTATGTCCAAATGCACTCATTATTCTCATATTTTGGTTTAAGGCACGAAATGAGGCGTTAGGTGAAAAACAAAGCTAATCGGGTCATTTTATACAGTTTCGGCGCCGTGTGGTAGATTGAACATAACTCTCTTATCCGGACTCTGATTGATATGATTCAAGATGTAGTGGAAAGATAATGAAAAATTCTATAACTTTACTGTTTTGAGTTTTGATAGATTCGAACTGTATCAATGTCAAAATCGAAACCGAATTTTGTGTGACTGCATTGGTGACGTGTTGAAGACAATCCTTAGCCTTGAAGCTTTCATCCGCAATTTCATCACTCTCCCACTCACACAAGAATATTGTTTTATCTTAGTTTTGAGTCTTTTCTGGATAAGGGAGACTTGTAGATTGACCTAGAGAAATTTTAGGAGATTGAGGTAGGCTTCTTTTGGGGGGGAAGTAGATAAGAGGAAAAAACCCTAAAGAGAAGGGGAGGAGATTGGCGGAAAGAAAATCAAGAAAAGCAATCAGACTTGGGGGCCAAACCTCACTTNAGATAAGAGGAAAAAACCCTAGAGAGAAAGGGGGAGATTGGCAGAAAGAAAATCAAGAAACGAAGCAGATTGGGAGCAGCCGAACCACTCTTCTCTTCTCTCTGCCCCTCTCTTCTTGACTCTCTGATTTTCTTGGAGTTTACACCATGACCATGCGTGGCTAAAACTCTTGTACTTGGTCGAAGGAAGTAGAAGCCTCATAATCCACCAAACTGTGAGATCTAATTCAGTTTTTATTGTTTAATTCATGATTTGGATATCRAATGTTCTTCTATGTTTATATCTATGATTGTTTCATTTGATTGCTAGGAAGGCCTACTAGTTTATTGTTTGTTACAATCTATTGCTAGATTATATATCAAATCTGTAATTGTTTGATCCCTCTAATCTACGAAGCAACTAGGGCTAATGATTTGTTGCGTCAGAAATTGTTAGATCATAGGAAGAATAGTCGACTAAATTAAATGTAACCGCTTGTGCTTGTTTTGTTTAGCTTCATCAATCTCTAATGCTTAATGCTATTGCTGGATTAAATCTTTAACGCTTGTTTAGGGGTTGTTCAGTAGTAAGGGTTAAGAGGATCGCTTGTTTTCCGATTAACTGATAGAAGGAAGATGCAGGAAATTAATTCCTACGATGAATATTCAAAGTTTGAATTGATTTATCTTTGCATCGATGGGCAGTAGTGTAATTCTGATGGTCGATGTTATCCTAGACCAAGATTTGTTCCTTGATTAATTTCAGCACTCGAAGTTACCTAAATTCTCCTTTGGATTGCATTCTTTATTAATTCTGATTTTCCTTATTTCAAATCTGATTTTCGTTATATACACCCCCTCCATCTTTGATTCACGTAACACATAATTTGGGTTAGATACACTCTGTGGGAATGATCCCTACTCGCACTACTACATTCCATCTTCACTAGTAGAGGTTTATTTTTGGGTGCCTATGACAGCATGCCATCCACCCAGGATGCCACATGCTCCATGCGAAGGCCCTGTTCTGGCAGGTGTGCTCTTACATACCCTGGTTCACCCAGGATGCTGCATGCTCCATGCAAAGGCCCTATTTTGATAGGGGTGCACTCATGTTCCCTGGCAGTCCCAGGAAGGCCCTGGCAACCCCAAGCGCACTCAGATTCCCAGGCAACCCCGAGATGGCCCTAGCAATCCCAGACGCAATCACACTCCCTAACAACCCTAGGAACGCTCATATCACCTAGCAGCCCCAAGCTTCGACAGAATCAAGTAAATCCTTATCTATTTTCCAATGTAGATACTTTATCTAACATATAAACACAATGACCCAAGGGAGAACAAACTACAACCACCCCATGCATAAATTGTAATGCTCTTTAGAGCAATGACTCATTCTAACTGTTGACATTGTACTTGCGTTAAAAGAGCTCAACTAGTTTTCTCATTCAATGACCAACAAATTACTACAAAGGCAATTGCTGTGTGAAGCTCATAATTAACACTTCAGGTCAATTGACACGTTCGCGGTGGAACCTAAGAAGGGCCTCATCATTTCAAGACAAATTATTCGATTATTTACACAATGTTATTTGGGACAACTACGCAACTGGTAGTATCTTAGACGTTGGAAGAACACTATTTGTTTTATAATGACCTACGATAAAGATCACTACGCCTATGCTAATACTTGATTGTGATAGAGTACAATGGGCACTTGACTTTAAAATGCTTGAATTCTATTATTTCCGATAGTACCTAAAAACTTGCAAAATCCCTTCCAATGTTAGTGGACACTTGCAACTTTCTCAATGACATTCAACACTTGTGTTGAGCCTCCAAACTAAGGGGCATGCACGATTTCCTTTTTCTATAGTAATTTGAAATTAAAGGCCGATTACCCTCGCAATGGTGCTCGATTGAGAGTAATTTGCAAAATACTTATGAAAATTACTTATTTGTGACGGAGTGCACAAAATCACAAACTTTAAATGATTTGATGACCATTTGACATTTGCACTAATACAAGTTGCGATAAAAATTCATGCACGACTTCCTAGCCGCATTACCTACAACTTTGATTTAGACTCTTTCCTACAAACTAATATGCGATAAAGTTTTATTACAAGATCAAAAGTTCTAGACGAGTGATGAAGTTCTCTTGGAAATCATTGCGAAGGCTCTCTTATATGGAGCTCTAATATAATGGGAAAACTTTCCTTTAAGTTTAAGTTCACTATAACCCGAAAGTAATATGCCAAGGCTGATAGCCCATTAGCATTGCGATAAAGGCACTAGTGAAAAATAAATCAAAGCACTTGAGCACTGGCATAAGACAAAAATCTCATCTATTCTTTTCACAAATTGATTTACAAAATGAGTAACTATGGGTGTCCACATAGAAGCCCAATCCTTCTTCATATCAACTATATTTTTTAAAGCCTTGCCCACACACATCGAGGTCCATCAAATCTGTCGCCTTTGCTTCGTATCCAACCACCACTTAGCTTAAGTGTTTCTTGATAGAAGACATTCTATCAAGATATAGGGGGGATGAACATTAAAGTAGCCAAATATTCATTCCACTTGTTTCTTAATACAATGACTTCTATCAAGAAACAGGAAGGCTAAAGTACAAAAAGTATTGAGTTATACCTTACAAAATGCTCCTATGATGATTCCGTCACTTACACCTTCAAAAAACTCTTATGACCCAGAAAGCAAATATGAGCCAACACAACACCCTTGAAAGAATGGTACGATCCATCTAATGGACGCCATAAAGGTTGCGGAATGGGAGGGGCGAATTTCAAAAATTTCCTACATTTTCCCAACTGGGAATCATATTCCCTAGATTTAGAATACAATGTTCAAGGATCCTACTTGAACCATAATCAAACCAGATCTGTACCAAAAGATAAAAGGGAGGAATGTACCTAATCCGGAGAAGCAGTATCTCCCAAAGTTGGT